GGAGTAAACTCATATATGAAAATGTCTATGTGATTTATAAAGGCATTGACCATTTTCTTATTGATCCATCTGTTCCATATGATTGCAAGTCTTATTTCACATTATTTTCTTGTTCACCTTCTGTTATGACTTGGTTTTCATCTTTCTCCGTGACTTTAGGTCATGTTCTCACTGAAGTAAGCTAGGGACACCACTACAAGTTCTCTGAAACTCCAACTTGCTAGTTGTAAGGATGTGCCATGTTAAAAGATGTGCATGTTGATTTGCTTGGGGGGCCCCCTGGTGGTAGAATCAGAATCCATCACTAGTGTGTGAGTGGGCTTTGTGGAGCCCACTATGTATGATGGGACACCTCTCACAGCCTTGAGGCAGGGAGAAGGGCTTGGACTTGCCTCTACTGGATGTGCCTCCCCCTGGGAGGCCTTGCCTTCTTGTGGGAGTGAATGGGGGGTCATTTGGGGGAGGTAAGGCTGGGGGTAGGAGGAGGGAAGTGGGGGATCTCTGATTGGTATGTAAAATGAAAAAAACAACTTTTTTAATTTAAAAAAAGGTGTGCCTCAATGGCACCTTTGTCCATTTGTGGGCATACAGAGGTACCTTTGGTTCCATGGAATAAACAACGAAACAAACAAAAAGCAGAGAATACTTCAAAGTAAAAATACTTCCAAAGACAGAAGCTTCAAATGTAATGGTATTCAGTCCTCATTTTAGACCCCAAACTCTCAATAAAACACTTGTAGTGCAATCAACAGTAAGAGTGTGCTCTGCAGATGAAGAAGCATGACACATTGACTAGTTATCAGTCAGGTGAATGTATTGGCTGTTGTAGCTTGTCAGTGACAAGCATATTTCAGTTTGCAAGTTGCATACCCAAATGAATGAGTTTTCATTTAGAAAAGCTGACTTGAAGTTATTGTCTCCATTTAATTAGATAATGGGACACACTGACTAGTAAGGACAGAGCTTGTAGAAAGGCAACCTCATTCTACTGTTCTTTTCCCCTAAAAACAGGTAGAATTAGGTCTCAGCTCTGCAATGCCAAACAAAGGTTTATCTTCTCATGGTGTCCTCCCCTGAATGTAAATTAGCATTGTAAATGCCCCCTCGCTGTGACAGAGGAAATGATGAAGACTGAAAATGTCTGTCACTATCCATGGCCTAGAACCTATGGTAGTGTCAATAAATTGACATTCCCCACCTGCTTCTCTTCAAAACACGTGTGCCATATTCCACTATCGTGCACATTTTCTGCAGCTTATTTCTCCACCTGATTTGAAATGACCAGTAACCTCTAATGTTTGACCTGATTACATATGCAATGACTTTGTCTTAAGCATTTTCTGACAAGGCAAGATTACAGTGCTTACCACTGGTGACAATTAAAACCCACTTCAAGAAAAAAGTTGTTTGGCAAGGGAGGATTCTAAACCCTTGCAGTAGCAGAACATAGATAAGAGCAACATCTGCTCTCACATCCATGCTCATAAAACAAACATTTTCTACTGTGAAAATCATTATCTGGAAAGGCCCTCCTGATATTCCTTGTTTGTATAACGTTCCTGCCACATACTGAGGATATTACAATTTTTCTCTCCCATTCTCACTCCATCTTTATCTTTATCCATCTTGTTTTTGTTTTTGTTAATAACATGGTATCATTTTAAGGCTATAAAGGGACCATTGCTGCATCCCATATTGTTGTTTATATCAACCAAGTGCTTAGTTTGGTAAATAAACATATGTCTTAGCATTTTAAGTCTGAGCTGGGCTTAAATGTGATGATGTTCTTTTTGTTGTTGTTGTTGTTACACAGAATAAGGATCATGTATTAGTTTGGGGCTAAGCCCACCCACTCCTTATGATTCTGTTTATCTCAAAAGAGAGTAATATACATTAGAATTTCCCCCAGATAGCTGGAGTTCAGAAACACAAGTGCCCTGATTCCAGACTGTAGGTGTGCACACTGTTCACAAGTTTATATGGAGTCATTTGAATACTAGCACATGGTGTGTTAATTGCCACTAATACCAATCAAAATGCACCAATCATTTGAACTGCTAGCAGAGTAAGTTTATGTTACAATGTTTCATTGGGTTTTTGCTATTGTTGTTGTTAAATTAATATAGCATTTATATTCAAACTCCACAGACTTTGTTGTGAAGGTTTTGAGATGGAGGAAAATAGTTCAGTATCCCACTTTGGCATCTGAGTTAGTGTAGTAT